GTGGTCCTCAGGGAGAAGTTTGCACAGCTTCTTCCAGAAGTCTCAGGTGTTTACAGTGCAATCTCTGACACACAGTTGAGTTAAAAATGGGAGGTCCTTATATCAGACTTGTGGAACGTAATGCCCTCCTGTCTTACTTCTGACTCATGAGTACAGTTGGGTTGGTGGTGTGGCTCTCTTCTCCTTCCCATTCCTGCTTCTTTTCTGCTTACACTCCCCTGCAGCCCAAAAAAATATATACTTACAACCCCATGGCATCCTCCTTGAGGTCCGCTATGTTTATTTTTGTGTGTTTTAATAGTAAATTGGCAGTGACAGGCTTGGCAACAATTTGCTTTGGCAACAGGAGTATTTACAAGAAGCACTAAAGACTCTTGGTTTGCCTCAAGAGGATCTCCCTTCCCAAAGCCAATGCCAATTCTGCCTGGCCTGAGATGAGACGTATTAGGGTGATGAGTTGAGAAACCCCTTCAGCTTTGGGATCTGCTCTCCCCTCAGCTCTAGACTTTTCTTCCCATACTCACCTGGACTCCAAAGACATGTCAGATTTTGGTGATTTTTGGCAAGGCAGCTAGGACTGGTACAACATATATTTTTTGTACTTGTGTTTTCCTAACCTGCACAGGACCTGGAGACAGAAGGCAATACTTAATACTCCCTAGGAAGGGTGAAAGCAGTTCATGTTACTAAAGGAAAGTATAGTACTAAGCCAGCTCTAGCCCAGAAGCCTTTGATATTTGTTAAAACACTTATTTTAACGGCATCTAACAAGAAAAGTCCTTGTTTATCCAGCTATGCCAGTAAAAACCTTGTTTTTGCCGGTTCAGCTTATTTTGTGGAAGGACCCAGCGTGAGTTCTCTAATGACACTCTCAGAGCTCTTTGCATAATTCATTTTAACCATACACTGAACAACTTAATCAAGCAGGAGCACTGGATTATACTGAACTCAGGAAGCCCAGTGCTCAAACACCAATCCCAGGTGTTTTTTTTCCTTCGTGCAGTTAGAAATCTGTGAATCTGTGGTGGCTCATCCTAAGACCAGTGTGTACATAGTATTTGTCAGTCTTTAACAATGCTGATGTCTGGTAGATACCAGTCCAATCAATGCCTCTATATGTTGTAATTACAATCATAATCATCATATAATAATAATCATAATCATATATTAATTTTAACAACAGATAACCCAACTGTTTCTTTGCGTCCAGTTTGCATTAGCTGAAAAGGGTGAATATCACATTTTAGACACTTCTGAAATTCAGGTTTGTGTTTATCTTCTAAAACAAAAGATAATTTCAAAGAGGTGAAAGTTTTAGCTTATCTTGTGTATTCGGACAGTCCATGAGCTGGTTGCTCTTGTGGTTGTTGCTTTGCTGGACTCATACAGTGATTAGTGCCCCTCCTAAAAGTCTCAGGAGCTTTTCGTTTTTTGTAAATGATCTATTTTTAGGGTGGTTTTTTTTTTTTTTTTGCTTAGAAAGAAGTTAGATGATGAATTAATGAGACACAGTATCTTGCAAAGAAGCCTCCTGTTCTCATGTGTCTAGGCTGGAAGAAAATTGCCTCGAGCTAAGGTAGTGAAAGTATGTGGAGTGGTTTTTCGCTGTTCCTGTTTTTTCCAGTTTATTTGTAACTTCAGGGTTTTTTTTTTTTTTTTCCTACTGCCTTAGTTCCTCCCGTTTTCAAATTTCTCTCTAAAAAGGAGAAACAAACTCAATGACCTCCTAATCAGTAAAAAAATATCAGCTGCAGGATGACTTTACAAAAACATGCCCTGGCATAATGAAGAGAAAAGCTGCCTGAGGTGGCTCTGGTGGAGCTCTTTTAGAATAACTAATGCTGTCTGTATTTTCTCTTTTTTCACCTAATAGTTACACCGTTGGATCAGTCCAAGAGAACAATGACCAGGTGTGGAAGTTCCAGCGCTACTTTTTGGTTCAAGAATACTGCAGTCGCTTGACCATCCCCTTCCCTTTTGTCATCTTTGCCTACATTTTCATGGTGATGAGGAAATGTTTCAAATGCTGCTGTAAGAAAGAAAGCAAAGAGCCATCTATTTGTTGTGAGTTGGATTATTCCTTACTACCTAAAAGTCATGTTGGGCTTAAACCAGGCAGATAATGTTTTGCTGGGAGATTTTCAATGGCAAGGTAGACCTTGGAGGACGTGGTTGTACTGGAAATGAGGAGCAGCTCATTCATGTTCTCTATCAAATGCAAATCCACTACTCGAAATCTCTTCAGTGAGATTCAAATCAAAGCCCTTGGGTGCTTCGCAGCCATGATCTCATCTTCAGTACCTAAGGTGTGCTCTCTCTGGGATATGGGGAATTATACTTCTACCTTCTTATACTGAAACTCCAGTTGAGCATTGTGGTGGTCCCTGCTCTACTTGAGTGGAGTTATCCAATGCTTTCTTGTCCCAGCCATTTCGAGGCAGAAATACCTCATGTATATGGGTATGAGACTCCACCTGGAATACTGTGTCCAGCTTTGGAGTCCTCAACACAGAAATGACATGGACTGGCTGGAACGGGTCCAGCGGAGGGCCACCAAGATGATCAGAGGGATGAAGCACCTCCCCTATGGAGACAGGCTGAGGGAGCTGGGCTTGTTCAGCCTGGAGAAGAGAAGGCTCCGGGGAGACCTTATAGTGGCCTTTCAATACCTGAAGGGAGCTCCAGGAGAGCTGGGGAGGGACTCTTTGCCAGGAAGGGTAATGATAGGACAAGGGGAATGGTTTTAAATGGGAAGAAAAAGGATTCAGATTAGATCTCAGGAAGAAATTTTTTACTCTGAGGGTGGTGAGACACTGGAAGAGGTTGCCCAGAGAAGCTGTGGCTGCCCCATCCCTGGAGGGGTTCAAGGCCAGGCTGGATGGGGCTTGGAGCAACCTGGTGTGGTGGGAGGTGTCCCTGCCCAGGGCAGGGGGTTGGAACTCGATGATCTTTGAGGTCCCTTCCAACCCAAACCATTCTGTGATTCTATATAAATCAATTGAGTCTTCAAATTAATCCTATCTGTTTAGGGCTGCTTATGCTGCTTCCTAGCTTTGAAGGTTTGGGGTAGGTTTTTTTGGAGGTGGTGAGGTTGGGGTTTTTTTTGGTGTATTACAACACTGAATAAATTCATCCAGAACCTGCAGGGGGTGAAAGTCATCTTTTCATGGACTTGATGAAGAATGTCCCTGGCTTTGAAGGTTTGGGGTGGTTTTTTTTTGGAGGTGATGAGGTTGGGTTTTTTTTTGGTGTATTACAACACTGAATAAATTCATCCAGAACCTGCAGGGGGTGAAAGTCATCTTTTCATGGACTTGATGAAAAATGTAAACCCTCCCATTTGTCATTAGTGCTGGACAACCTGCCTCAAAAATGCAGGAGTGGCTGAGTCAGCCCTGTAGCTATTTCCTCCTTATTTATTCTGTCAGGGGCACAGACATGATCTGTTTTAACAAACTTTTTTTTTTCCCCCAACAAATGGAGTGGTTTCTCTTTTTTTTTTTTTTTAACAGCCATTAATAAGCAGATGAGAGAGGGTAAATTGAGTTAATTGACAGACTTATTCCCATCCATCAGCAACCTGACTATTGCCCCGCAGCACAGTCTAGATTTGTTATTCATTTAGGAGAAAGATGCTTGCTTTGGGGTATAAAGTTCCTTAGCAATGACTAAATTGTTCTGGCTGTCCAAATCACTGTTTGCTTTCCTTGCTGGGGTGGCTGCAGATATTTAACTGCAGATATTTCTGCCCAAGTGATGAAAAGTTGATATTGGAGTTCTTGAAAGCAAATTAAATAGGACAAGAGGAAATGGCCTCAAGCCTCACCAGGGGAGGTTTAGATTGGATATTACTGATATTGGAGTTCTGAAAGCAAATGAAATAGGACAAGAGGAAATGGCCTCAAACCTCACCAGGGGAGGTTTAGATTGGATATTAGGAAATATTTTTAGACTGAAAGGGATACTAAGCATTGGAACAGGCTGCCCAGGGAAGTGGTTGAGTCTCCATCCCTGGTGATATTTAAAAGACAGATAGATATAGTGGTTAGAGATATGGTTTAGTGATGGGTTTTTTAATCAGAGTTGATGATTGGACTCGATGATCTGAAAGGTCCCTTCCAACCTAGGCAATTCTGTGATTCTGTTCTATGGAAGAATTAATTAGAGGCAGAATATCATTGTAGTTGAGCTGGTGACAGGAACTGGGACCTCCATGGAGAAAGCACACTCATGTATTGCCTATTGTAAAATCCTGACTTCCCACTTATGGAAATGGTTGGGATTTGGGTCCTTAAATGCCAATTGGTATCTGGGAGAAGAACTGAGACTGTGTGAGGTCAGAGGAGCACTGGGTGGAGGAAGCAGGACTTCAGTTGTTTGCCAGCTATAGGCTTCTTTTGGCTCAGCTAACCTTCCTTTATTTTTTATTTTTTTTTTAATTTATTGTTATTAAAACCCACGTGGTTTGTGCTGTCCTGTTGGGACAGGATAAGAACCAGAATTATTATCCTGGAGGGCTTTGACTCAAAGTGGTTTGGTCTGTGTCACTCACTAATTTGTAGCATCAACAAGAGGTGCCTTTTAGAGAAGACAATGCTTCATCATTTGGAAATGTTTTAGGTCAATGATAAGTCATACAACATGGTTCTTCACATGTGTTACTCTTAATGATCCAGTATGGGATAATATAGAAACAAATGGAAAGCTTAAACCCAGATAAGAACTTTCTGGAGTGTCCTGTGCCTGTAGAAGTGGCTGCTGTTTCACATAACATTGGTGTAAACCAAGACTGAAAAAAAAATCCAGAAAAACTTCTGGAGTTTGGGGTTTTTGTTCATATTTTCCTTTTTTTAACCAGCTCTGGTTGCCGGGAGCGTACAGTAAAATGTGTTACTGTTGTATTTATCAGAGCTGTGTCACAGGTAGGACAAAGGCTCTGGATGAAGAGAAAGGAATCATTGACCTCAGGTTGCAAGCACTAACCCAGCCTTTTTTTGCACGTTAGCACTGGAACGACAAATTAACTGAATCTAGTCTTCTTGTTTTTCTTCACATGCCTTTTCCAGGCTCCAAAAATGAGGACAATGAAATTCTGGCATGGGAAGCTGTCATGAAGGAAAATTACCTTGTCAAAATCAATACCAAAGCAAATGATTCATCAGAAGAGTACGTCTGCCCTTCTTTGTCTTCGCTCTCTTAACTTTCTGTTGAATGTTTTTAGTGAAGGCAAGTTTTCAGCAGCTCTTAATGTTTACCAAGTTAATGAGTAGGTAAATAAACTCAGCACAAACGGGCCTTTTCTTTTTAAGTGGAATGATAGCCTTTTGTCAGCTGCTGCAGATTGGCTTCAGAAATAATGGATTAGGCTGGTAAAATGCTAATGGCAATATCACAAGGGTTATAATGGCATATTGTGCACATAGTGGCTGGGCAGATGCATTAAACACGCTTGTTCCCAATGTCTGTCATGGTATTTTGCAAAGGATTTCACCTCTCTGTGCTCGAATTTTTCTGTTTTACCATCAGGGAATGGTAAAATGGAGAAAATGTTCTTTTCCTATACTGTTTTGAGGTCTCGTGGTGGAAAGCAGAGCCGTAGCTGACTAGTCTTGTAACGTCGTGCAGTTGGTGGAGAATATTTAGTGTTAGACCTTGAATATCAGGCATTATTCCTGTGGTGTCAATCTATACAGAGCTCTGGGCTTAATAGCATGAGTAGGAAAGAGCTCTGGAGAGGGGAGGGTGCTATTTGGAAGGGTGGTATTTAAAGGTTGATAGCTTGGACTGCTCTTCCCTGGCTGCTAGATTGTGACCCTTTATCTTTAGGATGTAGCCCAGTGTTTTCAGAGTAGCAGGATAAGGGGAGAGAGAAATACAAAGAAAGATAGAAAACAGCAGCAGTAACCTGCTGTGTATGACAGCTTCATTTTGTAGCTAGTTTCCAGCAGCTCAAGTATTTTCCTAAATGGAATGTAAGGGAAGAGCTGATAAGAATGGATAGGAAGGACCAGATTGCTCCATGCCCTTTTGCCTCTGACATTGCTGTCCACAAGTAAGTGTTTATGTTAAGACTACCCAGAGGCATTCGGCATTGGATAAAAAGCCAAACAAATAAAAAAAAATAGCTTTTATCCTGGAAGCAGAAGAGGCTTGACAAGGAAAATGGAACAGCGCAGCACTAACAGTAATTTATATGTTAGTTAATATACTTGGTTAATATACTTGCAATAAAACCAACGCCAAACCACCTGCAGCCCTGTCTCCTTGGAAGGACAAAGACTAGTCTTCCCTAACAGGGGCATCTGCAGACAATCTGTTTAGTTAGTTAGTTAGTTAGCTAAGTTAGTTGCCTTAGCTCCACTCTTTGGCCAAAGATGAGGAGTTTGGGGCTCCAGATAGACTTTTGTGAAGCAGTTCTGCACAGTTTTGCAAAGTTGGGAGGGGACCCGGCCACAGCTTTTCCAATACCTGGACTCAGCCCTCTCCTCTGTGTCCTCTTTCTGTTTTCAGGACAGTGCATCGATTTAGACAACTGGATTCAAAGGTACTTCTGTTTCAGACTTCTCTGGGGGATATGTGTCTCTGGTAAAGCAGATAGTGGTCACAAGGAAAATGAGGATCATAAAGAATCACGTGCAGTCCTTGTTGCTGTCACCAGTTTTAAATAGGATTTAAAATGTGCTCTTTTGCACCTTTGATTCCCTATGTAGCTTCGGATTGTGCTGGGAAATGAAGTAGAAAGATCCTTGCTTAGCATCGAAGAAGCAGTTCTCAGTATTTCTTATTGGATGGAATAAAAGTAAAGATAACTTCTGTCTGAAAAAAGTTCAATATTCTGCTGTGTAACAGGCCTGTGAAATGCCAGTGTGAAGAAGGGACATTATACATTTAGAGTATACCCTTCTCAACAAGTTTAGCTTCTAGTGCTGAAGCATGAGGTAATTAAACCTTCGTGTAACCCAGGCAATACCTTCTGGCTAAACAAAGGATGCTCCATGTATATTGTAGGGAAATAAGACCTTTAATTAGGATTAAAATGACCAATTCTCATCTGATTGACAGAAACATCCTGTGCTAAAGGAATATAAAGCTGCCAATCTACTAGAGAGCACATCATTATCAGAGTTGGCATATAAGTATGGGTTTTGACTGTGGCACTGAAAAGACCTTCACGATGGGTGGGGTTTTTGAGGGCTTGATTGAATGATGTGTTTTGCCTTTGAAGTGGGGAGTTGCATTAGCGTGAAGAACAGACTTTTTAGAAGTCCCAGGGTGAGAAGGCCCACATACACTTCAAAAAGCTTCTTTTGATTGCTGTCAAATAATTCAGATTGCGAAATAATAGCGTGGTTTCAAGACGGAAATGGAAATGGTGAGCCACCGAGTATGTGTGAAAATAATTGGGAGTGTCCTTTCAAGCACAGTCTCCCACAATATCTTCCTGGAGAAGCTGGCTGCCCATGGCTTGGATGGGAGGACTCTCCACTGGGTTAAAAACTGGCTGGAGGACGGGCCCAGAGAGTGGTGGGGAATGGAGTTAAATCCAGTTGGTGGCCGGTCACGAGTGGTGTCCCCAGGGCTCGGTACTGGGGCTTGTTCTCTTTAACATCTTTATCAATGATCTGGCCAAGGGGATCGAGTGCACCCTCAGTCAGTTCACAGACAACACCAAGTGGGGTGGGAGTGTCAAGGCATTTCAGAGGGATCTGGACAGGCTGGATTCATGGGCTGAGGCCAATGGGATGAGGTTCAAGTGCCGGGTCCTGCATTTGGGTCCCACCAACCCCCTGCAGCGCTCCAGGCTGGGGGCAGAGTGGCTGGAGCTGCCTGGCAGAAAAGGACCTGGGGGTGTTGGTGGACTGTTGGGTGAACAGGAGCCAGCAGTGTGCCCAGGTGGGCAAGAAGGCCACCAGCATCCTGGCCTGGGTCAGGAACAGTGTGGGGAGTAGGATGTGGGAAGTGATCGCCCCATTGTACTGGGCACTGGTGAGGCCTCACCTCGAGGGTTGTGTCCAGTTTTGGGCCCCTCACCACAAAAAAGACATTGAGGGGCTGGAGCAGGTCCAGAGAAGGGCAATGGAGCTGGTGAGGGGTCTGGAGAACAAGTCTGATGAGGAGAGGCTGAGGGAGCTGGGGGTGTTCAGCCTGGAGAAGAGGAGGCTGAGGGGAGACCTTATTGCTCTCTACAACTCCCTGAAAGGAGGGTGTAGCCAGGGGGGGTCGGTCTCTTCTCCCAAGGAACAGGCGACAGGACAACATTGCTGTCCACAAGTAAGTGTTTATGTTAAGACTACCCAGAGGCATTCGGCATTGGATAAAAAGCCAAACAAATACCAAAAAAATAGCTTTTATCCTGGAAGCAGAAGAGGCTTGACAAGGAAAATGGAACAGCGCAGCACTAACAGTAATTTATATGTTAGTTAATATACTTGGTTAATATACTTGCAATAAAACCAACGCCAAACCACCTGCAGCCCTGTCTCCTTGGAAGGACAAAGACTAGTCTTCCCTAACAGGGGCATCTGCAGACAATCTGTTTAGTTAGTTAGTTAGTTAGCTAAGTTAGTTGCCTTAGCTCCACTCTTTGGCCAAAGATGAGGAGTTTGGGGCTCCAGATAGACTTTTGTGAAGCAGTTCTGCACAGTTTTGCAAAGTTGGGAGGGGACCCGGCCACAGCTTTTCCAATACCTGGACTCAGCCCTCTCCTCTGTGTCCTCTTTCTGTTTTCAGGACGGTGCATCGATTTAGACAACTGGATTCAAAGGTACTTCTGTTTCAGACTTCTCTGGGGGATATGTGTCTCTGGTAAAGCAGATAGTGGTCACAAGGAAAATGAGGATCATAAAGAATCACGTGCAGTCCTTGTTACTGTCACCAGTTTTAAATAGGATTTAAAATGTGCTCTTTTGCACCTTTGATTCCCTATGTAGCTTCGGATTGTGCTGGGAAATGAAGTAGAAAGATCCTTGCTTAGCATCGAAGAAGCAGTTCTCAGTATTTCTTCACCAATGGGAAGAAGGGGTGTTATACACTTAGAGTATACCCTTCTCAACAAGTTGAGCTTCTAGTGCTGAAGCATGAGGTAATTAATCCTGGGCCTTGCTTAGCATCGAAGAAGCAGTTCTCAGTATTTCTTATTGGATGGAATAAAAGTAAAGATAACTTCTGTCTGAAAAAAGTTCAATATTCTGCTGTGTAACAGGCCTGTGAAATGCCAGTGTGAAGAAGGGACATTATACATTTAGAGTATACCCTTCTCAACAAGTTTAGCTTCTAGTGCTGAAGCATGAGGTAATTAAACCTTCGTGTAACCCAGGCAATACCTTCTGGCTAAACAAAGGATGCTCCATGTATATTGTAGGGAAATAAGACCTTTAATTAGGATTAAAATGACCAATTCTCATCTGATTGACAGAAACATCCTGTGCTAAAGCAATATAAAGCTGCCAATCTACTAGAGAGCACATCATTATCAGAATTGTCATATAAGTATGGTTTTTGACTGTGGCACTGAAAAGACCTTCACGATGGGTGGGGTTTTTGAGGGCTTGATTGAATGATGTGTTTTGCCTTTGAAGTGGGGAGTTGCATTAGCGTGAAGAACAGACTTTTTAGAAGTCCCAGGGTGAGAAGGCCCACATACACTTCAAAAAGCTTCTTTTGATTGCTGTCAAATAATTCAGATTGCGAAATAATAGCGTGGTTTCAAGACGGAAATGGAAATGGTGAGCCACCGAGTATGTGTGAAAATAATTGGGAGTGTCCTTTCAAGCACAGTCTCCCACAATATCTTCCTGGAGAAGCTGGCTGCCCATGGCTTGGATGGGAGGACTCTCCACTGGGTTAAAAACTGGCTGGAGGACGGGCCCAGAGAGTGGTGGGGAATGGAGTTAAATCCAGTTGGTGGCCGGTCACGAGTGGTGTCCCCAGGGCTCGGTACTGGGGCTTGTTCTCTTTAACATCTTTATCAATGATCTGGCCAAGGGGATCGAGTGCACCCTCAGTCAGTTCACAGACAACACCAAGTGGGGTGGGAGTGTCAAGGCATTTCAGAGGGATCTGGACAGGCTTGTTGGGTGGGAATATCAAGGCATTTCAGAGGGATCTGGACAGGCTGGATCCATGGGCTGAGGCCCATGGGATGAGGTTCAAGTGCTGGGTCCTGCATTTGGGTCACAACAACCCCGTGCACAGACTTGGGGCAGAGTGGCTGGAGCTGCCTGGCAGAAAAGGACATGGGGGTGTTGGTCGCCTGTGGGCTGAACAGGAGCCAGCAGTGTGCCCAGGTGGCCAAGAAGGCCACCAGCATCCTGGCCTGTGTCAGGAACAGTGTGGGGAGTAGATCTCGGGAGTTGATCATCCCCCCCTGTCCTGGGCACTGGTGAGGCCCCACCTCAAGGGCTGTGTCCAGTTTTGGGCCCCTCACCACAAAAAAGACCTTGAGGGGCTGGAGCAGGTCCAGAGAAGGGCAATGGAGCTGGTGAGGGGTCTGGAGAACAAGTCTGATGAGGAGAGGCTGAGGGAGCTGGGGGTGTTCAGCCTGGAGAAGAGGAGGCTGAGGGGAGACCTTCTCGCTCTCTCCAGCTCCCTGAGAGGAGGGTGTAGCCAGGGGGGGTCGGTCTCTTCTCCCAAGGAACAGGCGATGGGACAAGAGGAAACGGCCTCAAGTTAGGGTATGTAAGTTCTGGGGTATTTTAAGGTACTTCCTACTGCTTGCCTTACTTCCTTTCCCTTCATACCAAGCTGTGGTCATCTGTTGGAATGAGTTAGAGTGACTTTATATAAACAGAGCTGCTTCTTTCTTCCTTTCTTTCTTTTTTTTTTTTTTTCGGTGACTTTATGTAAACAGAGCTGCTTCTTTCTTTCTTTCTTTTTTTTTTTAATTTTATTCTTGAGCTCTCTGATTTGAAAGGCCTCCTGAAAGAGATTTCCAGCAAAATCAAATGAATGCAGCTGAAATGGAAGAGCAGCTACCTGAGCAGGGTAAGCCCTCTTTAAATCCATTCTCTGACTTGAATAAGTTATCAGCATCTGTGATGGTAAATTGGCATGTCTTTGGAAGAAGAGTTAGTTTCAATTATTGATGCTCGTATTGATGTTGTCTAATATTTGAAATGAAATAAGAGCTAAATTCTCTTCCTCATTTGTTTTTTTTTCTGAAAAATATAATTTTCCATCTGGTGTTTCTAACAATTTTTGTCGTAGTTTAAAATATCTTATTTTGCTCCCTTGCCTTTGAAAAACTGTGAATAACCCAAGGTTATTTTTGTTGTCTTTGTGCTGGAATCCCTTTGGAAAATGATGAGTTTCTGTGCTCTTTCCTTTACAGTCTGTTCATTTTAACTCTGAAGAACATAAAACGATAGAGAAAAGACAGAATTATTTATTTTCCCATTTTCAAACTGGGGCGTTATGGGAGATCACTAGCCTTCCTCTACAATAAACTGTAGAGTGAAGAGTTGACCCAAAGTCTCCACAGCTGCAGTTTAGTGCCTAGTCATGAGCCTTGGGTCCTTTTTCATCAAGTTTTGTGGAAGAACTCAACTGGAGACACAGGTTCCAGCGGGATGTGAAAGCCAGGTGGAATATTGATGGGTGCAGAGAACTCCTTTCTTCATTGAAGACAGCAGGTTTAGATTGTCCTTGTTGACAAGGACAATCCAGAATGGCTTGATCAGCCTGAACGTTTAGAGCCTGGCTCCTTCCTCCATAGAGGGTTTTCCTGCAAGACAACTCAACTTATACCTGTGCCAAATATTCCTGGATCAGTTGTCTCACCGTTTTTCAGGGATAACTTCATATTCACTTGATCTGAAGTTCAGTTTAGTTATGAACAACTTGCAGCCACCCAATAAAATCTACAAGGACTGTGAGTTACTGGGCTTTTTCTTACGTGCAGTGAACTCCAAGTCACCTAGAGAACAGGCTGTAGAGTAGTGGAACTCTGGAGGTCATCTGGTCTCTCCCCACTCAAAGCAGCACTGGCTCAGATCAAAGGTAGCTGCAGTTTGGCTGAAAAATAGGTTGAAATTCATGAAGAACAGATGCAAATTTTACAGTTGCTTGGAAATTACTGGCTCCACAGGCACAATATTGACGGTTGGACAAGATGATCTTTAAGGTCCCTTCCAACCTAGAAGATTCTGTGAGATTCTGTGAGAAAATGGGGGGAAATCTGATGAGGCAGCAGTCCTGCAGAAAGGAATGGAATATTAAATAGCTGGTGTTTTGTCATCTGTGAGATGTATGAAGTAGTCCTCCTGCTGCTTATAGTGCAGTGAATCTCCTCTTGGGTACGGCATCCAGTGTTAGTGCTGAGCTTCAAGGATGAGGATGGAATGGCTGGAGAGTGTTTGGAACCATGACAAGAGGAACAGCAAGTCTTAACAACAGTAGAAAGGAGGGAATGAATGGTGGATAGAAGATACCTGTTTATGATGGAGCTTGTGGAAATGACCTCTGATTATTCTAGAGGGAGGTGTCCCTGCCCATGGCAGGGGTGTTGGAACTCAATGATCTTTGAGGTTCCTTCCAACCCAACCATTCTATGATTCTATGATTCTATATAGTGAGTGCTTTGAAAAATGGAGTTCCTCTCCAATTTATGCCTGGTGAACTATCTAGAGGGCATCCTGGTTGCCATCAAAGTGTTTTGCTGCACGTGGGCTGTGCTGACCCTGGAGCTGAGCCTTGGCAGCCCACAGGACTAACGTCACGGTGTGAACAGCAGTGTCAGTGTCTCACAGGAAGCAGATGTGTGTATTATGCTCTCTCAGCTGAAAGGGAGGACTTTAATCTTTGCTGACCATCTCATCTTGGGTAGGAGATGCTGGATTGGCCCTTCCAGGTGCTTTGCATGCAGGTGTTATCTCTGCTGCTCTGCTTAGACACCCAGTCCTGGATGGGTGGCACAAATAGCTCCTCCATCCCGAGACCATGAGGATGGAAGCAAAATCTTGAGGTGGGCTTGGGAGCTCTACTCAAAATTTTTTTTCTTTTGCTCACACAGGTACTGATTCATCAAGACTAATTTCTCAGAGCTGGCAGTAACGACCATGGGAACTGATGCACCAGTGTCAGTGGCTCTGCTGGACTTTTTAAATATTTTTTTTTTTTTTTTGCAAGATGATGGTAAAACATTAAGACGACTGTTTATCTCCTGGCAGGACTCCCATGTTACCCCAGCTCTCCTTTCTCCTCGTATCCTCTGATGCTCAATGGCAGCAATTAGTCCTTGTCAGCTGCTGTTAAAAAGCACTCTTCATTCCAAGAGTTCTCCTGCTGCTGCCAAAATCGCTTCGCTTTTCAATTTCACTCAAAGGGAGCTGTTCATGGCTTTCCTTTATCCACTAATTGCCTTGTCTTAATGAATCAGTCTCCCTTCCCAACCCTTCCTGTAGTAGCCAGATCTGGCTTGTTACTTGCATAGTCTGTGTCAGACCTGCTGAAGTCTGTCGTGCTGGCATGCCAAAATATAATATATATATTTCAGCATCATCCCCTGGAAGAAAGACAACATTGAGTCCAACCCTGCACCCACATCTCAGACTCTACCTGAGCAGCGTGGACTTCTTTCTGCTCTACCTGGAACTGTGCAGAAGCTCAAGCTATTGCAACCCTGCATGGGAGAGACTTAATTAATCTAGAAAGTATTTCCAGAGGCCTCGTGTGCAATCCTTGCTTGTTTCTTTGGTGATAAGTGGTATACTCGGAGCATTGCAATTAATTCAAGTTTTTTTTCAAAGAAGTTTGCATTTTGAAATGGAGAAGGGATTGTTGGCCAGCTTTAAATATTGTGATGCTTGCTCTGGTGAGGTTGCTATTCCTGCTTTGAGTCTAAAGTGAGAGCTGAACCTTGTGGCAATTTCTGTGGTCTGGTTGGATGCATTACCAACTTAAGGGACACCACTATAAAATGGCATTTATTTACCTTGCAAAAAGCATTGTGTCCATCTTCATGACAGGACGAGGGGCAATGGCTTCAAGCTGGAGGGGAACAGATTTAGACTGGAGATGAGGAGAGGGTTCTTCACTGTGAGGGTGGTGGAGCACTGGAACAGGTTGCCCAGGGAGGTGGTTGAGGCCCCTTCCCTGGAGATATTCAAGGAGAGGCTCGATGAGGCCCTGGGCAACCTGGTCTAGTTGGGGGTGTCCCTGCTGACTGCGGGGAGGTCGGACTAGATGACCTTTGGAGGTCCCCTTTGGAGGCCTGGGCAATTCTATGATTCTATGATTCATCCCCAGGGCCTAGGAACGATGTCCCAAGATGGTTGATTTGGAAAGTTGAGGTATTTTCCTTTTCCTGGCGTTGGCTACGGTAGTCCCAATGCTTTGCCATGACTTGCAGCTTGTTTGAGGGCTGTCAGGACCCAGGGGTCCTTACGTGGATGCCACCTGAGATCTCCAGATCAGTGCTTAGGTGGATGGAGAGGAACAGAACGCTCCCCAAGTGAGTCACCTTGACCAGTGGCAATACAGCCAGCTGCTGCCTGACCCAACCAAAGCCTGCTGTGAAAACCTGGTGGTCCAAGATGGCGAAGAGAGGACAAGCCCATTTTGGGTGTTTTGGTGGTTGTTTCGGTACGGGGGCAGGAAGGGCTGTTGTCTGTGGGGAACGTGTCTGCTTTATGGTGCAGGTGAGTGAGGTGCAGCTTTACTGAGCCAGGAGGCACACGTTGTTTACTGGAGCTGCTGCTCTGCTGGTCTTGGGAGCTGAAAATGGAATAGTTTTACAGGGAAAACCGTGGTGACGCATTATCTGAAAGGTTACTGCTCTTTTCTTGCTGCTTCTCATTACCTAACCTTACTGTATGCCATTATTGCACAACCCTGGGGGATATAGAATGCTAATAGCAGTGTTATTTGTTTAGATGTGGAAATACTTGTCTTTTCTTGTTAAAAAGCTTATAAAGGATTCAGGCTTTCATGGACTTCCATGGCACTTCGCTCGCATCGTAAATTATCGAGATAAGTTGCCCTCCTATAAATTATTTTTTTTTCCTATGTCATTTGTATGCCTTGAATGTGAAACATACTTTTAGGTCATTTCATTCCTATATAAATCCTGAAGTGTACCTGTCAGGAGCCCTCGTAATCTGTTCTCTTGTGAAATGGTGACAGTAACTCAGAACCATGTTCTAAAAGTCACAAGCCCTGGAACCTGTCCCTGCCCACCACTGCAGCCCATGGCTGCCAACCTGGGCTCCCTTCCCTTGGCCATGGAGCCCTACAGGCTCTTCTCCAGGCTCCTCTTCTTCCCCAAGCCTGGAGGTGCCAATGGAGCCCCAACCCAGGTGGGCTTTGGCAGCAGGGTGGCACTGGGGAGCACCCAACCTTCTGCTTCCTCCAAACCCTGGCACCAGCGGGCTGTTGGCTGGTCATCATGAGTGTCCTGGCAGAGGAGGCCAGACCTGGGTGTAGGAACCACCTGGCCAAGGGGGAGAATCTGCACCAGCCTTCTGCTTCCTCCAAACCCCGGCACCAGCGGGCTGTTGGTTGGTCATCATGAATGTCCTGGCAGAGAAGGCCAGACCTGGGTGCAGGGACCACCTGGCCAAGGGGGAGAATCTGCACCAACCCTTCCCTCCATCCCCTCGCACTCTCTCCAGCTGGCAGAGAACAGCAGCAGAGCCACCTACACCGGCCCCTGCTGTCCCTGCAGAGCCCCCAGGAGTCCACCCAAGAGGCAGCCATCAGGTTCCTTGGAGAGCCACATCTGCCTGGGGGTCCATCCCTGCACCAGCAGCAGGATCTGGCCTGGTCGCTGTGGATCTCCTGGGGCTCGCCGGGTGGCACAGGAGGGAACAGCAGGAGAAGCTCCAGGTCATCTCCAAGGGTGAGTGAGGGCAGCAGGGTGTCTGCAGGGACTGGTGGGGAGGAGGAGGTCCTCCACTGGTCCCTGTCCCAGCTCCCTGCACGGACAAGGGACAGCGTGGGCAGAGCAGAAAGATTTCAGGGGCACGTGGACAAGGGAACAGCAGGGGAAGCTCCAGGTCATCTCCAAGGGCGAGTGAGGGCAGCGGGGTGTCCGCAGGGACTGGTGGGGAGGAGGTCCTCCACTGGTCCCTGCCCCAGCTCCCTGCACGGACAAGGGGCAGCGTGGGCAGAGCAGAAGGAGATTTCAGGGGCACATGGACTATTTGTGGCCACCACCTTCTGGCTGAACCTGTTGCCCCCTGCATCCTCCCCCAACCCTTGAAGGCATGAAGGACAACAATGTTCATCATAAGAGCTGCAGAGAAAAGGTCTTCCAGATTCAGTCTAGCAGTTTTCCCAAGGACAACTACAGAGGACATGGAGGAGGAGAAGACCTTCTCTCCCACGCACCAACTTTCTGGCTGCTGGAGCTCAGCACGGAGCTGATCCCGGGCACCGCTGAGCGTGAGTGGATGCTGGCTTCTCCCTGCCTTCAGGACATCTCCAGCTCTCAGGTCCTGCCCGTCCCCTTCACCTCTTCACAGCTCATCCCTCCGCTTGACCTTCTGCAAATAGACAGTCCTGCTTCTTCACCTGCACTGCACGTCTTTTTGGGGAAATGAAACAGAGTTCAGGACATCTCCAGCTCTCAGGTCCTGCCCGTCCCCTTCACCTCTTCACAGCTCATCCCTCCGCTTGACCTTCTGCAAATAGACAGTCCTGCTTCTTCACCTGCACTGCACGTCTTTTTGGGGAAATGAAACAGAGAACTTGGTTCCTGAAGCACACAAGCCCTGGTCCAGCCTTTCTTTTTGCAGAGAACTTGGTTCCTGAATCACACAAGCCCTGGTCCAGCCTTTCTTTTTGCCCCCTGTGCAGGAACAGCAGCAGGTCATGGTGGAAAGGTCCTCCAGTAGAGTCAGTCCCTTTTCTGAGGGTCCCGTCACCTTCACAGGTGCAAGAGGATCTTTCTCCATCTGGTCTGGGTCTCAGCGCTGCAGAGGAGAAAGCTGGTGAGGGATTCTAGGAGAATGGGCTTTGGACAGGAGCAGGTGGGTTGGAGCTCTGGGCAAGGGGATGCTGGCCTTGGTGAATGAAGTCCTGGAGCTTTATTCCTGCTATTGCCTTCATATTTCCCAGGTGTTCATGGCTGAGAAGAACTATTTCATCTCCTGCCCATCCCTCCACCAGCCCGTAGGGATCACCATCTCAGGAACCCAGCCACCCTGGTGGATCCTACCCAGTTCCCAAGCTCCTGCTTTGCCACTGCAGAGCTCATCAGAAAGCAGGGCAGTCTCACCAGAGTGTGACCAAGGACAATTCTCAGAAGACAGAGCCTCCCACTGATCAGCGGCCACCCCAGCTCTCCAGGAGAGCATCACAGAGATGAAACCTGTCCCAGTGCAACTCATACCCATTGCCAGTTGTCTTCTCCTTGTGAGGAGAGGACCTGCATCCTCTTTGCAGGTAGCCTTTAAGTAGAGTGATGAACCTCCTCGTTTCCATGGAGAAGAGACCTAACTCCTTCAATCTTTCCTCATGGGGCAGGTTGTCTTGCAGGTGCTGACGGGCACTCCAGCTACCTGGTGGCTGCAGAAGCCACCAGAAGAAGTTTAAGGCTTATTAGGCAGTGCTTTAAGGTTGGTAGAGACCAGGCAAGGGCTGTTCCCTGCAGCAGACAGGAATCAGCTACCTGGCCAGGATAGCCTGGGGTGAGTGGAGATGACCATGCAGAGTTTTCTTTTAGGGAAGCTGCTGGTCCAGGTGGACTGCACTCTGGGTCCTGGGTGGAGGAGGCTGGGAGCTCCACCTATGCAAGCTGTGCTCTGGTGGACTCACTCAGGCAGCAGGTGGAGGAGCTGCTGGAGGAAATTAGCTGGCTATGCTGTGTTGGGGAGGTGAACAAAAAATAGGGTCTTAATCAAGGCTTTGCAAGAAGAAATACGCGGTCCTTTTGGCATTGACCTCCAAGGACCACCAGACAAAAAGCTTCAACCACGAACAGACAACACCTTGGAGAAGAAGGCACCATGTTCTCTGTTAGAAAGAGAAGAGGAAGAGAAGAGAAGAGGAAGAGCAGCACCATGTTCTCTGTTAGAAGAGAAGAAGAAGAGGAAGAGGAAGAGAAGAGGAAGAGGAAGAGGAAGAGAAGAGGAAGAGAAGAGAAGAGGAAGAGGAAGAGAAAGAGAAGAGAAGAGGAAGAGGAAGAGAAGAGGAAGAGGAAGAGAAGAGGAAGAGGAAGAGAAGAGGAAGAGGAAGAGAAGAGAAGAGGAAGAGGAAGAGAAAGAGAAGAGAAGAGGAAGAGAAAGAGAAGAGAAGAGAGAGAAAGAGAAGAGAAGAGAAGAATTGTACTGTCCCGTATTAGACCATTAGAACCTGGTCTTCACAGGTGTACTGTCCCCAATTAGACCATTAGAACCTGGTCTTCACAGGTGACTTCAGTTACTGGGACACTTGGTGGGAAAAGCATACAGCTGTGTGCAAGCCATCCGTCAGGTTCCTGGGATGTGTTGAGGTCTGTGTCCTGCTAGAGATGCTGGACATGCTGTCTGGGAACAGTGCCTTGTTGGATTTACAGCTCACAAACCAAGAAGACTTGCTTGCCAACACAACTGCCAACGTTATCCTTGGAAACAGCAACCACAACGCTGTGGAGATCTCGCTGAGCACACTGGAGACCAGTGGTAGGACAAAGACCCTGCATTTTAGAAGAGCAAGCTTCAATATGTGGAGGTTGTGGAGATCAGGGGAAGGCCCTGATGATTTGAAGGGGCAAATGTCATATCTACCTACGAGAAGGGCCCAGGGAGCTACAAGCCCATTAGTCTTACTCCAATCCCTGGGAAAGTAATGGAAGGAGTCCTCCAAGCAGATGTTGCTAACCAAATGAAGCAGGTGGCTGGGGAAAGCCAGGACACATTTCCCAAGGGCAAACCATGCCAGACTAACCTGATCATGTCCTACAACAAGATAACATCTGTTGATGCGGGGAGAGCGGTGGATCACCTGGACATCACCTTGTTCACCTGGACTGGAGGTATGCTTTAGTGATGATGCTCCTTGTTTGTTGTGTGGGTGTCTATTTTTGTCAGTGAGGTTGACGGTTGGACAAGATGATCTTTAAGGTCCCTTCCAACCTAGAAGATTCTGTGATTCTGTGACTT